CCTGACAATACTAATAACGGAAAAGGAGTGCAATAGTTAATACTCTTAAAATTTCGAGAGTTTATAGCATGGTTCTGGACCGAAACAAAAAGTTCTTCAGGATCCTAGGTGATCTCCGGAGAACTCTGATTGGTGATCAGATTAACCTTCACAGCAGCCGATATGCAGACAAGCTGGCAACTCACTCGAACTCTGAAGACCCACCCCAATGATCTCCCTACCCGTATTATTTCCCAAGCGATCAAATATTCCTAAATAACTTCTAAATGTGATCTAGTTCTAGCTCTTTGTACAATACTCTAACATTCCATATTCTTCGTCCGGTTATGTTCAGAATGCAATGAACGATTCCGGCGCAAATTGATTTAAAAAAAAAAAAAAACGCCGTTACATTCTATTCGACACTCGTAGGGTATATGGTCTACAAGATGCAAAAGGTATGTATGCCATAGGTAAAAAAAATCGTTTTCGACAATCGTACTCAAAGTATGCATATTTTCTAGCTAGTCTTGCTGACTGACTCGGGAATTACAGGAGCCAGAAGGTTGATGTTGAGCTCTAATGTGGAGCTGGACCCCATCCATAAGACCGTCAATTTGCTGCTTGAATATATCTATTTCCTCAAAACAAATTTTGTACAAGGGAGACACTCCAAAAAGCATTTCCCACTTTTTCTCAGTTGTTTGTTTCACACAATTATTGGATCCTAAAATCATTTGAATAAGCCAGTTAAATTTCAATTATGAGTTAAATAAAATTATATTCTTAAGAAAGCCTATATGAATTATAAGACACACATGACTGGTGACGATAGGGTTAAGTATATTAGAGGGGGTAGTAAAAAGTATGTAATGTACTTAGTGTAGAATACTTTTCAGTATAATGGGTATCTAATAGCAGATAGAGAGATTTTAGCTACGCATGTTGAAATGCATCTTCCTTTTACTTGCTAACTAGGGAGATTTGTTTACAATGTATGAAAGCTTTTGCTTACTTTAAAGGACGGCGAATTCGACTCCACTTTGTGTAGACTTTACGCGATAGAGAAAGAGTGAATCGGAAAGTGGCAGTCGTTGGAGAGAGATGGATAGCGAAGTCTACACAAAAGCTTTACCCAAGGGTATTACTTGGGGTTGATACATAAAAATGAAGGCAATGCCGTATTAATTAATTTAAGTATCGCAATGGTATAAGCAAAAGCAACAGGAGCATAGAGATCGTGAAATACACCGCACAAATTAACATCACAATTAAATGCCCAACTGTTTTCCTAAAAATCTAGTTTTCAGCTTGCAATTTCCATAGGCTAACAATTCAAGCTGCCCCCATGATACAAATTGCGAATGCAGTCAATGTCAGGCACTCGAAGCCCGAATGCAAAACATTCCCATACATTCCCATACAATTAGTTCACACACACACGTGCAAGCGAACGAGTGGAAAAACCACCACCACTCGAGAGCGATTCCCCAACCATTTTCACCACGCACGGAGCTTTAATCGTCCTGCCACACACACGCACAACCCTCAAACGCGCAAAGGATAAAAATAAAATGCCATTGCATACTCTGGGGCGCTCGTTTTATTTGCTGAGCACGTCTGCTCGACTCTCTCTCGCCGCACAGGCGCGCTGCTAGCTGCCCTTAAACGCGTCCTCGGACCAATCCGGAGCGCTCCTGAAAACTTTATGAGCTCGGCCTGGGTCTGCCAATCAGGACGTTGCACATTTCCAGGCAGGCGCTGCACTCGGTGCCCTGCAACTGCATGCCGGTAGGCGCAAACGCGGTGCAGGGAACTCCGAGGGGTGCGGAGTCCTGTTTGCCGCGCCCAAGTGTCGATTACTGGCGTACTCGTTGGCTGCATATCTGTAGGCTCAATTACACGGAATCCACACTCACACTCACACTCGCACGCACACTCACACTCACACTCAGCCGATGCATGCGAAATCGGATTCGGAGGTGTTTGCTCTGCTAGGTGACAAATTTTCATGCCAACGCCTGTAAATATGCAGGGATTTTTGCTGCTTTTCAAGCCTTTTCCCATGCACACTGCAAAACGAGGGTAATTGGGGTCGTTCTTCGTTCTTCGTTCATCGTTCATCGTTCATCGTCCTCGTCGTTGTGCTGTGTTGATTTTTCGGCATGCATATTTCCAGGCGCCTCTGATTGCCGCTCCTGCCGTCTTCAGGGTCCTTCCTGGCCATTTATGATGACGTTTTGCCTCGGCTGACTCGCATTTCGCACGAGTGCCACTGCACTGCCATCTTGTTTGCTCTAAGGGTCAGGTCAGCATATTTGCCAAGCAAAATATATTTCTTTCATGCCAAGTGTGAAAATTGTCTTCCTCCGTTGCACTTTTGATTGCCGTTTTCCACTGGAGTGGCAGCAAGGGGCCAGGGTCCTGGCAGAAAGCCGGGCCAAATCAGAGCGAAGTGGTTAAAATCGTTGACGAGACATTTCCTATTCTTTCTGCGCGTCGAGTGGGGATCTGAAGGCAATCAGGTTTCGCAAAAACAATAGGTGTTGGAGAATGGACCGTACCCGCCCCATTTCGCACATTTCTGGACGGGTGTGGGGCACAATGGGTAAATGCGATTTATGTATCTAGTTTAATTGGAGGAATTAAAATAGTTCAAGTGGATCGCATAACCATCAACGTGTTGAAGAATCACCGGGCTGTCGGGACATTCTTGTACGTATATTTGAATCATTTCACTTCCGTAGGAGCCAAGCCATCTCACCAGAAATACTAATGAACTCTCAGTGAAAGTATGGCATTAGAGTAAATGCACCGAGTACAGCATAGGCATTAAAGAAGGAGCTGCTCTTAAGGCACCTCCCATAATCCGCAGAACTCAAGAAACAAAAGTCACACATAAGGGCAGAGCGATGGTCACAGGCTAGAGTCTGCATCCTGGCGACCTACAGAATGGGCAAGTGTCCTATTTGCACAGCCCGCAGGAGGCAGAGCACGTAACTGCATCCGTAAATACATGGGGTAGTACACAGCCACAATCACAATCACAGTCGCACAAACACTGGTACCTGGCCCATGACAGCTGCAAGGACTAAAGCCCCGAGACGGAATTGAGTTAGAAGAGCCAAAGAGCTTAAAATCAAAAGTCAGACCGGCCTATGTAAATAAATGCAGTATGCAGGCGGAGACGAGGAGCCGGAAATGGGGAAAGGCAGTCAGTCACGGAGTGAAAGCAGAACGAGGAGCAAACAGAAAACAAAAGGAGCCGAGAAGAGCACAGGACTCGGAGGGCGAAGGCAAGACATTTATTTGGCCAACACCAGGACCCAGGAAGTAGGCACAGACCCGCTGAACAAAGCTGGATGGCGCCTTAGTTTCGACAGACCCGATTCTGATTAAGCGCATAGGTCGTTGTCTGACTTGCAGCCCGATCCTGAGCCCGAGCCCTAGCCCGAGCCCTAGCCCGAGCCCATCCGTATCCATCTGTCGGTCTGTCACTTCGTCTGGCCATCGACTGTCGCAACCGCAGGAGGAAAATGGGGGAAAAATTCAGAAAAACTGAAAACGCCAACAAATGGCTAGGCGGTTGCTTTTTGTCCGCTTTTTTCGCCGTGCATTGTTGCAATGTAACGGCGTAAGCAGAATTACGTGCAATTGTTTTCTGCAGTGGTTCGTGCACATAAATGCGGCATTGGGGATTGGGGACTCGGGCCTCGGGACTTGGAGCTGGGCTCTGCGCTGGGTAAACATAGACACGTTGACTGCATCTAGGATGAGCGCCACAAATGACTGACTGCCTTGTTGAATGCACGCAGCAGAATAAGACTGCGGAATCCCTGCCTGGGAATCCAGGGGCTTAAAGGCTTTAAGGCCAATGTATTAGGCAAGGACATAAAGATAGGTTAGACAACTAAATCCATTTGCCATTTAAGTGCCTAGTATTGGTATTAAATAAAGTGTGTGCATATATCGCATCTTTCTTTATTCATTTTTCGTTTCTTTTTCGATAATTCATTAGCCATTGCTGGCTAAGACATGCTCTTTCAAATGGAGACTCCATCTTCTAAATAGTTCTCGATTACAGAGTATTACTTGCATAAAACTAAGCAGCAGGATCCTTATATATATATATATAACTTAGCACAAGTGTTTCTAGGCTGGGATTTTATTTACCTTCACCCATAAATTCACCAACCACAGTAAAATCAATTCAGTTCGGAAACTCATTTTGAATGGCCTGCAGCGCGGAACCAATTACGAGTTCATTTCGGCTTATCTAAATAATTAATGCTCAGAACGAGTGGCTCAATTTTGTTAATGAGCAGATTGCTCACTCGATCTACTCAAATATTTAAAGTAACATGCACGGATGAGCAACTGCAATTAACATGATCGTATCAGCTAACTTGTTTGATACCAAATATGCAAAGGTTTTAGAAAATGTACATAGTTTTTTAATTTAATACTGGATGCTTTTAAAGGAATGACGCTTATCAATATTATTTTGATATCCATTTAAAAATGTTTTTTTCATATTAAAAATATGAGAGTAATATTAGGTACAAAATGAAAAAATAGCTCTTTCAAAATGTTTTGCTCTGATCATAATAAGCGTTTTTGACACAAAGTCGACACATAAATGCTAATGTTTTTAACACATACCTTTGTAAAAGTGAACACTCCAGCAGTATCAGTTTTTGAAAATGGCAAAGATAGTCCTAAGTCTAATACCCGTGGTAAGTATTCTTTGATCTTAGTAAAGCACATCCTAAAATGTTTTAAGACGAATAAAATCCTAATGCTGGGGAGTCAGTTTGGCAACTTTAAAGCAGTTTTTTTTCTAACTGGCGGATAAATATAAAATTTTTTCTTGTCACTGGCTACTATAGAGTAAAGTTCGACATGACCAGCTAAGGAAAATGGACTGTGCCTTTGAAGTTGAAATAAAGTAAGCAATGACTAATTCGCTTCATTTTACATGTTGCCACCAATTAAAATTAGTTTAGTCCGATGGCCGCTGGATGAAAATGTAAGTTAGACATCATTATTCGCTCGACATCAGCATGGAATTGTTGAAAGTTTGTTCTATTGTCACCCTGCTATTTGTCCACGAACTGAGAATCACAGGGGCAGTGAGTATATATTAAAAAAATTGTTAAGGAGTCGCAATTGTTATAATATTCTTGCGACAAAGACTTCCCTCATCTTCCAGACGGGAAAATGCAAGTTCAGTCCTTCTTATTTCGACAACTTCACACTCGAAATTAGAAACAACACATTGTATATGGACATGACCACCACCAAACCGATTCACCGCGGCCTCAAGGTCTTCCTCAACACCCAGATCAGCCTCGACAAGGGCAGAAGCTATCAACGCCTCTTCGCCCACATCCTAGACACCTGTTTGGTGGTTTCCTCGGTGAGAGGAAACCTCTTTAAGAGCTGGTTCGATAGTATGCTGAAGCACGGAAACTTCATGGTCAACTGCCCTGTGCCCGCGGGTCACTACTTTTTGCGGGACTGGAAGTTGGACTCGCATTTGGTCCCGCACTATTTGCTTCCCGGGGATTATTGTATCACTGCTCACTTCTTCTTTGGTAAGCACAAGTCGAGGCAAGAGGACTTTTTTCTCGACTTGGAGATCTATGCCCTTTTAAAAGCCACATAGGTGCTGTATCTGCATCTGATGCAGCCAATTAATTCTGGTTCATAAATAAATAGAAAAAAGGTACAATAAAATAAAATAATAAAATAAAAATAAGCTTTAAAACTGCGCCATTCCGAAGTCATTAAAATACTATTAGCGAATCATCTTGTGTGCAATTGAATAACTGGCGGCGTTCGGATCAAGTTGTTTCTGCATTCAGACCTCACATCGGAAGTACCAATGTGGAAAATAGCGTGTGTCCTAATCGGAATATCCGTTTCGCAGGCAGAGGTAAGCAAAGATCAGCACGTAGCCCATCGGGAACCTAATTGACTTCGCGTCCAACAGTCCAGCTCTGTGACAGTAACTCGCATTCATTGCGAGAAGAACCCCAAGTTCTTTACCACGCTGAACGTGACGTCTGTGAATAGTACGTTCTATGCGGATGTTTATATGCCGCAGGACCTCAAGGCGGGCTTCCGAGGACACGTCGATGTGCAACTGCGTCTCAGCAATGCCAAAAAGTTCCAGAGTCTGGTCCAAGCCGACAACGACTACTGCGAGCTCCTCTCGACCTTCAAGGACTCGCTCTTTCGGCGCTGGATCAAGAGCGTTTTCAAAAACAGCAACTTAATGGAGAACTGCCCTGTTCCCGCGGGGCACTACTTCGTAAATGGCTGGCACGTGGACATGGGCCTGGTACCCTCCTACCTACTGAGCGGGGACTACCTGGTAAATGCCCTGTTTTACTACGGGAAGTATCGCACCAAGAAGCAGACGTTCCTTCTTCGGTGCACGGTGGGGGCAACTATGCATAACAAATAGAAACGAGTTCAATGTTTGGGTTGTGCGTGTGTAATTACATGATTCAACAGTGTGGTCGAATGATCAATCTATCACGCAATTCAAACAGAATAACAAACCCATCGAATGGGTTTAACTGCCTTTAACTGCAAATCAGTTGTGTTGGTGTGTGGCAATGTCAAGTTGACATCATCCCGCAATGTTTACAGGGAAACTCGTACCCTTTGTTCTGGGCTGGATTGTTGTAACTGTTGTCGTAAAGCCGAGCGTGGTGAGTCAATGCCTTTCTTACACAAGGTCCTTTCAAGAACATGCTAGCTAGGGCGCCAGAATGTCTTTCAAAGCCGGTGACTGCACATACAACAGATCGACGTTCTCCAACTTCAGTATCCAAATAATCAAGACGAAAGTAATGATGGATATGACTTTGGTCACCACTCTACGCCAGGGGCTAAAGGCGCACTTGGGCTTCGAGTTCCGTCTGGCCAAGGGCAAGCCCTACCAAAGTGTCTACCAACACGATATGAACTACTGTGCTCTGATCAAGGAATCCCAGGATTCGATTTACGGGCGGTGGTTCACGTCCATGCTGAAGGTGGGAAACTTCGCCACGAGCTGTCCGATCAGCGAAGGTTACTATTACATGCATGGCTGGACCCTAGATGGCAGCAATGTGCCATCCTTTCTCTATCTGGGTGACTACCGCATCGGCGGATCCTTCTTCTACGGCAGGTTCAGGAAGCAGTTCTACAGTCCCCTGCTGGAGTGCAGTGTTGAAGCGGTGTTGAGCTAAGGCTGAGCTTAGTTGCTAGACCATTGGAGTGATCATCCGATCGCGGAGTGGATGAGTGGATGCGTGGATAGTCAAGCTCCAATAGGCTAAATAATTAAAATATTTTGATCAGACAGACATTTCAGACATTTATTGAAACCCTTCCCTTGTTTTTGTTTACTGCGATGGCTCGGCCTACATGGATCTTGCATCTAGTCGGGCTGGAGATACCGCTGTGCCTGGTCATTGCTCTTTGCTTCATAAGGGCGGTAAGTACCGTGTACTGTGTGGTACTCAAATTCTTGAGATCGGGCTTGCTTTATCTAGGAATGCAGCGTCAAGTTCACAGTCGGTGAGAGCAAGTTCAGCCGGAAGTACTTTGAAAACTTTACGTTCACGATACGCAATGACAAAATTTTCCTGGACATGTACCTGCGAAAGCCTCTGGTCAGGGGCTGGAGAGCCAGACTGGACTTCAGAGCACGCGTGGGGAACTCGAAAAGTTTCCAGAGCCTCTTTTCCACCAATATCGACGTGTGCAGCATCGTTAACGCCGCCAAGATCAACCTGTTCAAGAAGTGGTACAAGAACCTTCTCAAGTACGGAAACTTCCTCCGCCAGTGTCCTCTGAATGCGGGCCACTACTACTTGAGGGACTGGCAGTTCGGGGAGGGCTTGGTGCCGCCCTTCATTACGAGTGGATCGTACCGATTGGAGACGTATAACTATTTTGGAAAGTACAAGGGCAAAGACGAGGACTTCATAATGAGTTGTACGGCCGATGCTATCATATATATCTGATGCACTGAATCCGATGGCTAATGGTTCGGAAATAAAAATGTAAAATGCCATGCTCGTGACCGTCATTTGTAATTGATTTGAGGCCTTTCATTTGGGTTTCAACGAGGGCATTGAAATGTGGAAATTGCTTACGTTCCTTCTTCTTGTTCAATTGCTATTGAACACCGAACTTGTCGTCGGGGTAAGTCAGTCCCTGGACCGCATTCAAAATTCTTTAGAAAATTGTAATTCAAGGAGCGCAGTGTACAGTTTGTCGCCGGTAACAGCAGCTACAATCCGAAGTATTTTAAAAGCTTTGCGATGACCATAGTTAACAACACAATGAATATGGACATGCACCTGAACCGACCCATTCAGAGGGGTTTCAAGGCCCATATCGATATTCTGCTGCGTCTGGCCAACGCAAAGAACTTTCAGTCCATGTTCAGCCAGAAAAGCGACGTGTGTGCCGTAACATCCAGTGTCAAGAACACCCTGTTCAAGAGCTGGTTCAAGGATATGAGCAAGAACAGCAACTTCATGTACAACTGCCCGGTGGAGGTGGGTCACTACTACATGCACGACTGGCGCATGGGGAGCTCCATGACGCACAAGTTCCTTATTCCTGGCGAGTACCGCGGCAAGCTCTCCTTCTTCTACGGCAAGTTCGGATCCAAGTCATTCGAGGAAGCACTGCGCATGACGATCGACGTGATCCTGTCCAACTAATCCCCATTCAACGGCGTAAATCCAATACTAAAGGCGAATATCGATAATGGAACTTTGATCTATGTTGACCAATATGCAATATGAAATTTTGTGAAAGTTTGTGACTACAAATTGTTTATCTCAATGGTCTTAAGGAAAATAAATAGTGGGGGCTTACAGACAAATAAGTGAAGGTTTTCCATTTAGTTCTTATGGCATTCATATGATCTATTCAAATATGTTTTTTAGAATTGTTTAAATACATTCTCCAGAAGCTAAGAACAAAAATAAAATAAACGTAAGCGAAAAGTATCTCAAAGATTCCAGATCTTATGACTTAAATGCAATTACATTATTCTTAAATAAATATTTCAGTAAGATAACAGCATCGAATAATCGTGTTTTCTCAGGATGTCCACCGATGATGCTGACAACTTCCGCACTCACGCAGCGATAATCATCGAATCGTTAGCGTTGTCTGCACGAAGATTAGCTGCAAGTTTATGGCGAGAAATAATAATATCCTGAACAAGACGGCAACATGTTGCACGGCTGGCTTTGTGCTGATTATCGATGCAGCAGAAAAAGAAGACATTGAGCATTCAATTTGGCTCCAATGTCCTTGGTGTCACACCGGGATGGCAGATGTCGCATGCAGCAAAGGAAGTTGTAAGGAGAATAAAGGGAATGTAAAAGAAAATTGATACTTTAGAATCGTCTCCCGACGTTGTGCTTAACGTGTGCGCTTAACTTTATTGCTTCCTAATGGCTGGCCGAGCAGTCAGTATCCTTCAGCATCCTGCTGCCGCCCCAGGCCTCAAGCTCGCCAATTTGCTCGGATTCCCGCTGGTATAATTATACGATGTGTGGTGATGATTGCTCCCTCTGAAGCGCATCCCCCGGCTTACTCACTCGAATCCTGGCACTGACAAGCCCGCAGGCATGTATGATGACTAATGAGTGTGAACCTGAGGACGAGCGAGCGCCAGGTGAGCTTTGGCCTAATTAGTTAGGCCGCCCAACCACCCATGTAATTGGGGCCTTTGAAAAGAGCCGAAGAATGGCGTGCAGATGATTTAATTTATAGTAACCCCCTTCGAGTGGCTTTGGGCGGCCCTCAAGAAATCAATTTCATGGCAAACAAACATTAAACCTTATTTAAGACAAAGCACAGCAACTGCGACAAGTATAATGATGGCAATTTCCTTGAGTATACGACTTCACAGCTCCCGGATCCGCCTGCATTTGTTTCAAAGGAGCCCGACTGAAGCTCCCTCTTCGCCGGGCTCCGGCAAATATAAGAAAGTGCCCGCTGCCCCTAGTCAATTCCGGAAGTGCAATTGATGGGAAATACGACGAAAAAGTACCCATCGCATCCTTGGAGCGCGTGCGAACGTGTCGAGGAGACCTGGACAAAGGACGCGTCGGCAAGTCGAGGGCAAACTTGTCGATGGAAAAATACTATGTCCCCAAACTATTATTGACAGTGTTTAAATTATTTTGCGCTTAGATGGGCCCTCGTATAAATCGCAGCTTGCAGCGCGGCCAGCCACGTTCCGGGCAGAAATCCGTGTCCGTGTCCGTGTCCGTGTCCGTGTCCGCGTCGGTGGCGTATCCGTGTCCTTGTTGGAGGACTCATTAATTTATTTATGCGAAATGCACGTGCAACGATTTACTCGCTTGGAAGTGAGAAATTGTGTTAGCCAGTGGAGATTTGAGCTCTTCAATAATTCATTGCCTTTTATTGTGGCCCGTGGATATACGTAGGAGCTAGCCGTCCCGCACAAGCGGATCGGGATCCACTCACTTCATTTTTATGTCGACGTAAGCGATTGTCACTGTCAAATTGGCGCCGTGCCAGTCCCTCACATAAGCATTAGAGTCTATGCGGAAGCTGCCCGAGCGAATGAACCGCGGAATGGTCTCCTTTTCCGATCGGATGTTGCGCATATAGTAGTTGCCCTGGAAAGTGGGAGTTAGGCACTTAATTCATGCACTGCTCTGAGGGTACAGTACCTCCTTGAGTGGGCAGATTTGTGGCATATTGGAGTGCCTGAGGATGCTGTTCAGCCAGAAGTTGATCAGGCTGTTGCCCTTGCCCTTGCCCCTGCCCATCACCTGGCAGAGATTCACGTTGTAGGTGAAGACGTCCCGGTAGGATTCCCCGTTCTTGGACACCCGCTGCCCTATCGTAGCCCTAAGCCATATATCCGCCGTGATGTTGCGCACAAGGTTCAGTGTGAAGTTGACCGTGGTGTGGTCCCGGCTGATCGCAACCTCATACAGGGATATGAACTTCCTGTGGTGGTCGGTGACGATTTTCCGAAAGAGTAGTACGTTCAAGGACTGTGGGGCAGTGAGAGGAAGGGTTAGAAGCTCTGAAGTGGTGAGATCCTACCTTTTGTCCTTCTAGAAATCTGCACACCAAGCAAAGTGTCAGCACAAACATAAGAACGCTGCGGAGGGGAAACATTGTACGACACGGATCACCTGTATGGCGCTGACTAAATACGACTCAGCTCAAAGCTTTGTTTTTGATGGAGCCATTAAAAGCCCATCGGTTTTCAATTTGCGGAATCGATCATTTCGATCTGCCAATGTCGAAACTCGATATAGTGAACAAATAAGTGCGTCGCTAATTAAACTGCAGATCCATACAGGTGGCTCTCAGCCAAAACTCTCAGCGTAATTAAATTGCAGGATTGTTCAAAAGTTTGCCCAACTGACTCAGCCTCACCCAAAGTCCTTTGCATCCCGTAGTGCCCATATAATTTGCTGGGTGCTGGGAAACGACGCTAAAAATATGATAAATTACCGCTTAACGGGCAGCTGCAGTTGCCTGCCCGACAAGGCAGCATAAATTCAAAAAGGGCCGCTATTTGCTGCTAACCAAATCTTAATTATAAATCTAAAGGAAGCACTTGCAGCCGAAAAAAAAGTACGAACAAATTACCGCAAGCGCAGTGCGCCGTAGGATGTCCGAGGAGCTAGGAGGAGGAGCGAAATGATGATTTAATAGAATGGTCTGCGGGCACCGCCAGCTGGCTGCCGTGTCCTGTCGGCTGAGCCGAATGAATGGGCACCCGAGAGCAGTGGGAGGAGCGGGCGGAAATGACTCCATAAGCTGCTGCTACCATAAACCGGAAGTTAACAGACTTTCGCTGATGTGGCACTTTCATGGCACTGCTGCAGAGCACCAGGACACCAGGACACAAGGACATACGGACACACGGACTCGGAACCGCCTGGACTGAGCCGACACGCTCGGCGGGCAGTCTGCGAAATTGTGACAGCGCATGGCCGCAGGATAATCAAATAATTTTTTTCTCCGCTTCCTCCTATCTTTGCTGGAGGAGCCCGGCTTTCTGGTGAGTTTTCTCTGTAGCAGCTGAAGTTATTGTTGCAACATTGCCGCAAAATGCTAATTGCCGCATACGATGCGATCGAGGGACTTGGAACCGGCAAACTTTTCAAACTGCAACTGTCATTGATGTTACCTCATACTGGCAGTTTCCATATTCTCAGCTGCTTTTTTATGCTCTTGCTTGGAGCTTATCGCTATCTGTCAAAGGCTGGTAAATTGGCTTGCACTTTAATAAATCACCCGCAAAATGTCGGACAAAAGTTTCCCATCGTTCCAAAGGTGCACAACCCTTCCTGAGCAATCGAGCCGTTCCAGTTATAGTCAATAACTATCCGTTTGGGCAGCGCCTTTGACGCCATTAACAATATTTTCTCCATTTCGCAGCACAACATTTTACGCGCGAAGGAATTTGAACAACATGGACAATTGCAAATGAATCGGAAGAGCTACACGAATTAAACTGTGTTTTGTTTGCAAATTAGGGCAGTTAATCCCGCATTGCGCACTGGCCTGAGCCACATGGGTGCCAGTGACTTTAAGCGCCGCCTCACAGGGAGTCAATAATATATCCTCTGAATAATTGTCCCCAGTGCCACGTGGGAGCGTTCCCATACACGTAGGAGAAGCCGTGACAAAGAGGCCTGCTGCTCGGAATAAAGACGATGATTCTGTTGATTTGAATTGTGATTAAAATGCAGCGTATAATCTACCCCTGTCCCTGTTCCCGTACCCGTACCCGGACCTCGGTTCCTGTTCACTGGATGTCTGAGGCGCTGTCTCCAAGTTGGCAGCATGTGCGCCCAAGGAGCGGGAGCTGGAGAAGATCCAGAGGAAGTTCTGTGCCTCGCTTCACACTTTGTCTGACTGTGCAGAAATTCCTTGGAGGGAATGCGGCGAAGAAAAATTGTAAAAACCGCAACTCGTGTCGACTTGATGTTAGAATAATGAAGAGGCAAAACTTTTGCGCAAGGCATGTAATTTTTCGCAGTGACAGCCGGCCGTAGACCCGCCCTTATACTCCTTGCAAAATAGCACCCCCGTTCCCCACCGGAACCGGAAGTTGTCATTCGTTTTGTGCATTTGTTAAAAAGTTACAGCCGAAAAAGGGAAAAAGAAGCGGGAAGAAAACCACAGCAGAGCGAAACAAAAACTGCATGGAAACTGCTGCTGCTGTAGTCCCGCTTTTCTTAATTTTCTGCATGCCAGGCCTATCCTTGGTGGGCCCAAACTCCCACATAAATCACGGTGGCCCGAGACCCAGACGGACCCCGAGTCCGAGTCGAAATCGGAACCAGAATCAGAATCAGAATCGTAGTGGGGGTCGCAGTAGGAGTCCGAAAGGCCGCGTAATAAATGCGAACAATGACACAATTGATTGGCCAATTACGTGCGCTTCGGGGTGATTATGACGTTACGTACCGTTAGCCGACGCACATCAGGCCACTCGGACATCGCACGGACGTCGAACGGTGGCTGGTTGGCAGTCGGGCAGTCGGGGAGTCGGGGAGTCCTGCAGTCGTGGGGTCGCGGAGTCGCGGAGTCCTGGGGTTGCGCTGCCATGCCTGACTAAATTTACACAATTAAATGCGTGAAATTCGTTTGAATAATTGACCAATTTTTCGGACACTGCGTGGCAATGGGGAGGCAATGAAGCATAAGAGAGCTTTAAGGTGCAGAGCTTTAAGGACGTGCCGGTTACGCGACCCGCTAAGGCCATGATTGATTAAATGGACAGGGCACACATGAGTTTTTTCTCTTTCCACCGCCAGTCGCCAACGATAAGACAGCCTTAAATTCAAAAAATGGCCGAGAACGAACACTTTATGGCCAGTGGCCGAGAGGCGAGCGCAAGCCGCAGCTAATTTATTTGCAGTCTGGGCCATTTATGCGACACAGCAACGCGGCCGTGACGAGAGCAGCATCCGCAGCAGGAGCAGCTGAAGGGCCAAGCACTTCATTGTGCAGTGGCTCGTTTAAAACGCTGATTCAGTTTCATCATTAAGCAGATTAATACGGAAGCGCGTCGCCTCTGACAGCCATCGGATCTAAGGACCCCACTCTTCTCGATAGCAATCGATACGCATGCAAATGCGGATGCGGCAGACCATGTTCTAGTCATTGTCCGACCAAACGATGGCCATGTGGTCGTCCATTGCAGGGCACTTGAACTTTATCGCCATGCAGAGCCGTGCCACGCGGCGTATGCGCAATATTCGAGGACATCAATTTTTATGCGCCTCCAGTGTGTGCACACGGATCGGTTGCAGGCGGGAAGGGCATTTTGGCTAATTTGTCCGTCACATTACGCTGGTTAATTGCGCGTGGAAATGGGATATAGCTGGTTTAAGCCAACGCGGCCAGTGGCTGCCATAATGGCTCAATTTGGGACTTTATCGATGGCACAGCTTATCGAATACATGATGATTTACCCAGTAAAAGTGCTGCCACTTTGCAGGTTATGAATACCGCCCAGCTGCCACAACCCACAACCCACGCCCATCACATCCCGCCCTGATTGCAATTGCAGGATATTTCCTGCTGCTTACTTTTCGGCTGCGACCCAAGCCAACAGTTTATTTAGTGTCTCTGGCAGCAGCCGCGTGGAATTGTGATAATATTTGCCAGCAAAAGTATTTACATTTGCCTCAAAGTTGGGCGCCGCAGCAGTTGTCGTTCCTCGGAGGGGCGTGCCGGCCAGAAAAGCCGTTGAGTGCCAAACGAGCAGGAGGAGTTAGCCCTGTTTCCTTGCCTCCTTGCTGCCTTGACTGCCTGACTGCCTGACTGCCACGCAATCACAGTTTTCGACGTTTTACGAAATTGTATCGGCGTCGAAGTTTTCTTTGCCGCTTATTTGTTTGTTGTTGCGCACTCGTTTCTTTCTTTCTTTCTTCGTGGGGAGAAAGATAGAGCTTTGCGCGAAATAAGAAAAGTTTTCCTTTATTTAAACAAATTTTTGGCGTAGACATACGTGGCAACTCTTTTAAAGTTTTCGAGCTAAAAATACTTCTTTATCAAAAGTATGCAGAGCTGGGAAAACGGTCAAATGAATTGCTTCCGCAGGAGCAGATCCTTGCCGAGCAAATTGGCATTCTCCCCCAGAACTCAAAAGTATCCCCAAAGCCGCAACGCGACTCAAGTGGTCTAATGTGCCAGGAAGCGCCTGCAACTCGTTAGCCTGGAAAAATATTGTCTAATAAGGAGCCGGGCCCTCGACGAGGGACGGACACAAGCTGAGCGACCAATTAAATTTCACCCGCATCAATAATCATGAAAGCAAAAATTGCCGAAAGCCTCGGCATGCCTATAAAAAATATCCGCTTCCCCCGAATTACGGGGTACGAGTACATCCAGCAGAAATGCCACATAAAACGAAAGCGCGAAATTAAACGGCGACAAGGAGACGAGCAGGTGGATGCCGCCGGTGGTCCCAGGCAGACTTGAAGTCGACAAGCGTGTAAATGATATAAATTCAATTTAATAAAATTGTTAAAATCGCAGCGACGAACGGAACGAGCTGTGGAAATACTTTGCGCGCAGGTGAGCTGAAAATTGCTGTGAAATTTTAGTGCCCTGGCTAGGAAGTCGCTGCCAGGACTCTCAGGACTGCCTGCCTACATCCTGGCGGAAGGCGAAGGCGGAAATACGCGTGAAAATTCCTAGCAATTATTTCACACAAAGTATTGAAGTGAGAGTCCCAGTCTCAGTAGTACGATGGCAGTAGTGTGTCCTGTCGCCTCCTCGTCTGGCGCAGCGACTCTCCGTCGTCATCGAGCATTGTGTTGTCAGTTCAGAGGATAGTGGCAGGATAGGCAGGATTCCAGGAGGAGAGCTGGGGAGCTGGGAAGCAGCACGAGGAGGTCGACCCAGACGGAAGCCCTCGACCAATACGGCTTTGATAGCATTTTAAGCGGCTTGCGTGGGTCTTATTCTCTCGCCTTAATGTCACGATAATCGCATAATTTTATTTCCTTGGACACTTTCTGCCACTGCGAGAGGGTTGGCCGCGCTGAAGCAAAAGAGCTCCGTTCCTTCAGCCTATTAAGACAACTAACAGACACTTCTCCCTCCGCCACAATACATAATTCTTTCGGCAAATCGTCTCATTAAAC